TATAGAATTTCTTCAAAAAATTAAAAATGGAACTGCCTTTTGACCCAGTGATTCCACTGCTGGGAATTGACCCTAGGCATACTGAATCACCAATTCAAAAGAACTTATGCACCCCTATGTTCATAGCAGCGCTATTTACAATAGCCAAATATTGGAAACAGCCTAGGTGCCCATCAGTAGACATACGGATTAAAAAACTGTGGTATATTTACACAATGGACTACTACGCAGCAGCAAGAAAGAACTTCTACCATTTGTGACAGCATGGATAGAACTAGAGACTATCATACTAAGTGGAATAGTCCAGCCAGTGAAAGACAAGCACCATATGATCTCACTTATATGTGGAATCTAACGAAAAAAATAAACTAATGAGCAAAACAGGACCTCAGACACAGAAACATGAAACAGACTGATAGCTGCAGGAAGGAGGAGGGAGTGGGAGAATGGTGGAAGGAACTGGAAGGAATTAGTCAAAGCACATGTATAAATGACCCATGGACATTGACAATGGTGTGGAGACAGACTGTGAGAGCCCGGGGTGGGCTGGGTGGAGGAGAGCAAAGGGGGAAAAATTGGGACAACTATAATAGAATAAACAAGAAAAAAAGATTTAAAAAAAGTTTCCCTCCAACAGTATATATCTTTGACATTAATTGTTGAATGAATTTCTAAACAGTCTATATTTATTGTTAGTACTGCAAACTATGTTTTTTTTTCCATTCATTATATCTTTTATCTGGTGGTGACTGCAGATGTTTGTTACTTATTAAAGTGCCTCTGTGTTTTCCCTTTTAGTTTTGGAGAGTTTATATATTTTATAATGGTAAAAAGTATTTGTTTAGTAATTTTTACATTTTTAAGGAATAGATGGTAAAAAATTTGTAGTGGCATTTCATAATGGCATTGTAGTGCCCATGAGGATAAGCCACAGAGGGTCTCCTAGAGTCATAATTTTAATGTGCTGCTAGATCCTCTTCACAAATATTTTATTTAGGATTTTTCTATCAGTGGATATAAGTGAGCCTGAACTATTGTTTCCTTTTTTACAATATTTTTCAAATTTTTTCTATCAATTTAATAACTGCTTTCTAACTCAGAAATTTTCCTCCTTCTATGCTCTGGAACAGTTAAATAGCAATTAAATTATTTATTCTTTTTAATTGATATTTTAAATTAATAAATTTTTATTGTTTAGAGTAGTCTTAGGTATACAACAAATATGAGCAAAAGTACAGGAAATTACCATATACCTTCTGTCCCCATACATGTACAACTTCCCCACTATCAACATCATGCATTTATTACAATCAATGAACCTACACTGACACATTATCATCCAAAGTCCATAGTTTGCATTAGGTGTTGTACATTCTATGGGTTTTGGTAAATGTATCATTATACATTTGTATATCATGTATACTCTACTATAGTAACATACAGATAGTTTCACTCCCCTAATAATCTTCAGTGTTCTGCATATTCATCCCTTTCTCCTCCCAACCCCTGATAACTACTGACCATTTTATTGTCTTCACAGTTTTGCCTTTTCCAGAATGACATAAAGTTGAAATAACATAGTACGTAGCCTTTTTAGATTAGCTTCTTTCACTTAGTAATATTCACTCAAGTTTCTTCTATGTCTTTTCATGGCCTGACAGCTCATTTGTTTTTAATGTCGAATAGTAGTATTCTATTATTTGGATATACCACAGTTTATTCATCCACTCACCTACTGAAGGATATCTTGGTTGCCTCCAAATTTTGCATTAATTAATAGAGTGGCAATGAACATCTATGCAGGTTTTGTGTAGACATAGATTTTCAACTACTTTGGATAAATGGTAAACTTTTTCTTCATGATTTTCACTGCAGGTAACATTTTAAAAGGCCTTCCCCGCTTCAAGATTACTTAATATTTGCTTAATATTAAGCAAATTACTTAATATTTCTCCACAGTTCAAAGATGGTTTTGTTTCCCCATGATTATGTGGGCTCTGTCCTCTCCTGGTATATTGCTTTCCTTCATTCACACAATACCTGCCAGCAGCAACCTCAACTATGTACTTTCTTGGTACATCTGCAAAGAAGAAAAGGCACTATTCCTCACAAGTATCTAACAAAAGTTCTGAGCTTTGTCTTAATTTGGTCCACCATGAGCTAGTAGCTGTGGCCTGAGGAAATGTGGTTACTGCCTGGTACACAGTCCTACCAGGGCCTACCTTTGGATTTGGGGACAGAGACCAGCGGCATTTAAAATAAATGTTGGGATTAACCATGGCGTCCACTGCCTTTAGCCCAATAAAAACATAACTTAAAAATGTTCCCCAGACATTTCAACATTCTTATGTCATAGTAGTACACATTTGTTTAAAATATGCAAACTTATGTATGCAGGTGTGTACATACATGTGTATAATCTATGTCTTTTCTTTCTTACAAAGCATAATGACTGGAGCCAAAAGAGGAAATGGACCTAACAAAATAATGGCAGATACTGGGCAAGCTAGAAGTCTAGTTAATGTAATGATTGAACACATAATTCATTGTGCTGTTTAGAACAGTATATTTACATGCCTTACTGCCCATCAGCCAAGTTGCTGATATCTACCACCTCTGTATGAATTCAAAATAGCCCATTACTGTCCACAATGAAGCTACTCCTGAAACCTCATTCAGTTTTCTTGGTGCTTTATCATTTACTGCCAGCATATTTATAAAATAGTCTCTTGGTTGATGTGTGCATGTAATATGTATTTGATTAGGATACATGTAAATATGTTACTTCTTCTAAATATTCCAAGCCTTCTTAAGGGCAAAGCCATAGTCTAGTCTGTCTGTTGAACCCCCTAATACAGAGTTTAGCAGAGATCACTATGTATTAAGGATTACCCAATAAATATTCATCAAGTAAAACATATCATTAGTTTTGTAAAATTTATTCTGTATAATTATACATGGCAAGCGCACTATTAAACAAAGATTCATGAACCTATAATCCACCAACATAGATTCCTGCTGCCCCCGTAATGTGCCTTGCCACTCTCGCCTTCATTGTTTTCATCTTCAATTCAACTCAGTTGAACAATCATTTATTTAAAAGCTGCTATGTGCCCAGATATGCTAGGTGCTGAGGATACAATTATTAATAAATTACTTTGTCTTCAAGGACTCTCCAGTCATCATTTAATATCCCTTCTTAGAATGTCCTCCCTATCCCTTTTCTGTCTTATCCTTGTTTCTTCCCTTAGCATGTGATGCATATTCATCTTATTTTCAATTAATCTTCAGTAACATCAATGGTGCTGTGAATCTCGACTTTTTCTGAGTGCTACAGGGTTGTTCGAAGAAAGAGCAGAAATTGTGTTTAGATTAAAAAGGAGGTAGGAAAATGGGCTGTGAAGGATAGATCTTGTGGCAGGGAGGCATTACAGGCTGCTAAGGCCAACTCCTCCATATTTAGGAGCTGCTAATCTAGAAACCCCACAATCTTTGCCACCTTTGCTAAGGGGACAAAATGCCATCTAAAAGGAAAGGTCATGGGCAGCTAGTTTGCTTTAAAAGGAGAGAGTCAGATTTACCTTCTTTATAGCCAGAATCATCCTGATAATAATGTATCTCCCACCAAAAAAAAAAAATAACAAAAGAAAGAAAACACAAACAAAACAAAACCCTCTCCCCCCTTCCTTGGTGAGTTCTAAAATCTCTTTAAAAAGGTTGGGGTAGAGAGGGGAGAGAGGATGTGTATCTTACAATTAGAGACTAAGTGCATGATTAGGTTAATAATTCAATGAAACTGTTATCTGAGTTTCAACTGAAGTGTAATTAATTCATTAATTCATCAACACATATAAATGATATATATATTTTTTTCTCAGCTTTATTTTGCTAGGTGGGAAGGAAAAATGGAAGGCAGAAAAACAAGAGAGATGAAGCTCTTAAGAGGCCAAAAGGTGTCTGCTATGGAAAAGGATGGGGCCATCACCGCAAAGATGTAAGAAAGAAGCTCAGGGCAGGAAGTCTCAGAAGGCACATAGGACTGCCTCTTCGAGTGTTAAGAAGCTACTAAAGCAAAGAACTCTTGTTTGGTGGGATTTAAGGTTTTCCTTTTTGTTATTCATTTCTTGACACTAGTAATTTCACATAGAGGCATTTCATTTACAAACAATTCATTACAAAATGTAAGAAATAATACAGAAAAATTTGTCATAAAAGGACACTAAAAATATGTCTCTTCAAAAGTTTTTAAGTATATAGTCTTATGGGAAAATTTTAGAGGTCAATATAATAGAAAAATAGCAAACCTTCCCCAGAAACTTCACATGCTGGTCATCACATCAGGTAAACTATTGATCTGATCCACAATGGCATTTCTGAGTTCGTTCATTAAATGAATTTTAATACAGAATCTACACTAGAGAAGATGACCCTGCCAAAACTGAACTTTAAATCACTTAACAGTATATTTGTCATTCAAAAGAGGATTATCATTCCCAGGATGCAGCCAAAAGTACACTTTCTAAAAAAACTTAGCATGTTTTTAAAAATTTACAAAGTATACTTCATGGTCACCACAAGACAAAATCACAGTGGATTACAAATAACCTAATTCCATGGCTACATTTTTTTCATTGTAACCAATTATTACTACTAATCTGTAAGTATCTACTGAAGAGGAGCTTCACATCTTGAAATGAAAAATTCATAGTTACTGAAATTTCATGTTTGAAAAACTTTTTTATCTGTGTAGTAAAGAGCTCAGTGAGTGGACTATTTTCATCATATTTCAACATTATAAAAATCTTTAAAATCATTATTTCAGGGAAATTATTTTGGATAACTTTTCATCCAACCAATAGTCAATCTAAACATCTATTGATTGGCTATATTCCAATCATACAGTAACTATAAAAAAAGGTAAATCAGAAGTAGTAACCTCCCACAAAAATAAAATTTTAGTGCCAAAAGCCTACATAATTCAAGTAGTTTTATCTTATTACCTGTATATGTCTTCTAACTGCAAATCAAATTCATGAAGTTTCTTTTGATATTTCTCTGTAAAGTTACAGAACTCTTTAAAAATTGAAGATTTCAGATCAGGGTATGGGCATTCCAAAGTTTCTAATTCCATGGGCAGTTCACTAAGTAAGTTACTCCTTTCTTCTGAATAATGATCTAGTATCTGAAAAAAATTATGATTGTTTTATTTAACACAAATAACAAATCGATAAACAAATTGCTATCTGTACCACACTTACCTTAATACTCCAGTCTGAAAGATCATTTTCTAATTTCTGTTGCTCCAGACTAAGCCCTTCAAAGACAGCTTTTAATTGTTTCTTCACAAAGTCAACCTATAAGAACATATAGAACAAGTAGTACGTGAATTATTGCTATTCACTGAATATGTTGGGGGGTTTTTTTCTGGAGCAAAAAGAAAAAGGTTTATTCGGGTACCATGACCTGGGAGAATTGTGGAGTGCCATCTCAAAGAACATCTCCGCTTCCTGCTGAAGACTGTGGTTCTAATAGGGGTATTGATGACAGGGTTTGGGGTTTTTTTTTTTGCAATATTAAACATTTTTTTTCTGTTTAAAAACTCTTCCCTTTATTCCCTTCCACCCTGCACTGCCTCTCACCCCAGCACCCCCCTGCTCCTTAGCTCATATCCATGGGTCATACATATAAGGCTTCTCCATTTCCTACACTATTCTTAACCCCGCCCCTGTCTATTTTGTACCTACTAGTTATGCTGCCTAGTCCCTGTACTTTTTCCCCCATTCTTCCCCCTCCCCGTCTCCTCTGATCTCCATTTCTATATTTCTGTTCCTGTTCTAGTTGTTTGCTTAGTTTGCTTTTGTTTTTGTTTTTAGGTTCAGTTCTTGATAGTTGTGAGTTTGTTGTCATTTTACTGTTTATAGTTTTTGATCTTCTTTTTCTTAGATAAGTCCTGTTAACTTTTCATATAATAAGGGCTTGGTAATGATGAACTCCTTGACCTTATCTGGGAAGCACTTTACCTGCCCTTCCATTCTAAATGATAGCTTTGCTGGATAGAGTAATCTTGGGTGTAGGTTCTTGCTTTTCATGACTTTGAATACTTCTCTCCAGCTCCTTCTTGCCTGCAAGGTTTCTTTGGAGAAACCAGCTGATAGTCTTATGGGAACTCTTTTGTAGGTAACTGTCTCCTTTTCTCTTGCTGCTTTTAAGATTCTCTCATCTTTAATCTTGGGTAATGTAATTATGATGTGCCTTGGTGTGTGCTTCCTTGCGTCCAACTTCTTTGGGACTCTCTGAGCTTCCTGGATCTTCTGGAAGTCTATTTCCTTGGCCAGATTGGGGAAGTTCTCCTTCATTATTTTTTCAAATAAGTTTTCAATTTCTTGCTCTTCCTCCTCTCCTTCTGGCACCCCTATGATTCGGGTATTGGAACATTTAAAGTTGTCCCAGATGTTCCTAAACCTCTCCTCATTTTTTTGAATTCTTGTTCCCTCATTCTGTTCTGATTGAATGTTTATCTCTTCCTTCTCCTTCCAATTTGTTGAATTGAGTCCCATTTTCCTTCCCTTTACTGTCAGTTCCCTGTATATTTTCCTTTATTTCACTTTGCGTAGCCTTCATTTTTCCCTCCATTTTGCAACCATACTCAACCAATGCAGTGAGCATCCAGATTACCAGTGTTTTGAACTGTGTATCTGATAGACTGGCTAGCTGTTCATCACTTAGTTCTATTTTTGGAGATTTGATGTATTCTTTCATTTGGGTCATATTTCTTTGCCTCAGTGTGCTTGTTACATTGGGAGGGGCAGAGCCTTAGATATTCACCAAGGCAGGGCAACCCAGGTCGCTGCATTGTGATGCTGTGTGTGAGGGAGGGGTCCAAGAGGGAACAGTGCTGCTTGCTCGGTTCTCAGCTGGCTTTCAGTCACTTCCCCCACTACCCACAAGCAAATTGGGCCCTTCTGGTGCTAATTCCAAGGTGGGTGGATTTATGCACATTCTAGGACCCTGTGGGTCTCTCCAATGGACTCTTCTGTGAGACTGGGAGTTTCTCCTGCCTCTGCAACCCCCACAGATTTTTACCTCCAGAGGTTCTGAGGCTTTCTTTTCCCGCACTGAAGCCCTGGGTTGTGTGGTCTGTCTCACTCCCCAGCTGTCCCTCCTAGTTTATCAGCAAGCAAGTGTGGGACCACCTGGTCTGCCAGCTGCCACCTTGCTGGGTGCTTCCTCTCCACCGGCTGCCCGTCTCCACCCCTCCTACCAGTCTGGATGAATGTTTCTTCTTTAGTTCCTTGGTTGTCAGACTTCCATACAGTTCGATTTTCTGGCACTTCTAGTTAGTTTTTATTTTTAAATGTTGTCTTTCTTTTGGTTGTGTGCGCAGGCAAAATATATCTAAAATATGTATATTTAAATGCATAGGAATTTGTCTCAAAAGCCAATAAGTAATGAAAAATTAGATATGAGAAAGTCGCTTTGAGGCCCTGTGGAAAAGGATTCAAAAAATGCCATAGCCAGGCAGTGCTTAGCAGAGGGGTTTCCAGGCACAACTTAAAAATGAAGTGGAAAGTACAGAGGGATCCTACCCACTCTGCACTTACTTTTTGATTTTGTTCATGGTAAGGCAGAGAGCTTACCAGAATGTCTGTTACGATCCCCCTCCTCTTCTCTGCATCCTTGCCTCTAATCCACAGATGGGCATGGGATTTTTAGTATTTTTTTAAAAAAATTGTTATTTATGAAAGCAATATAACAACATTACAGATAACTGAAGAAAAATCGCCTAGCAGTCTACATCTAGTACAACTATAATCGTGGAGTTTACACTCTAGTCAGGGAAGATTGTCAATAAACTAATGAAAAATAGCAAAGAAAGTATCAGGAGGAAGTAAATAATGTAAAAACAGGGCAAGATAACAGTGAGAGACTGTGGTTCTCTCAAGTGGGTGAACAGGACAGGCCACTCAAAGGAGAGGACATTTAAGCAAAGACTTAAAGGACAAAAATTTCTCTCAGCAGGACAGCGGAAACAGCCAGTGCAAAGGTCCTGAGACAGAAAGGAGCCTGGTATGTGTGAAGAGAAACAGAAAGAAGGCCAGGCCTGTGGCAGGGTCTAGGAGGAAAAGGGATGTCAGTTAGGAGATGAGACTGAAGAAGAGAGGAGAATGATGTGGGCCAGAAGGAGTCCTGGGTTTACCAGGGCAATAACTTGATCCCTTTGCACTGAAGGTAGATCCCAGAATGCAATGGGAGGAGGGGCAGGAATGAAACCAGGGAGACTAGTTATGAAGCCATTGTAACATTCCAAGTGTGAAATCAGCATGATTGGGCAGATTCAAGGATGTTTATGATAATGAGTAAACAGAATTCGCTCTACTTTCTATTAAAATACACAAGATACCTCATCTTAAACTGTTCTAGTTGGGACAAAATCAAAATATTACATTATTAAAAGTAAAGGTAATATACTGACCTCTTCCAGTACTTCCATTGACTTAAACTCAGTATATGAGTGTGAATGTTGTGGAATGTGATGTTGTCTATATTTTAGATCTTCCCTCAATTGCTGAATAGGATTTATCACATTTTTAAGATACATGCACCATTGTTCTGATAATCCTTGTTCTATGATGAAGCAAAATTAAATCAAGGTAACACATTATTTTAAGATTTTGCAAGAACAAGTTCTTAGAGTGCAGATTTATTTTTGGATTCCTTTAGAGAAAAACAAACAGCAGTTAATATTAAAAGAACCTGAAGTGAGTGGCCCACTTTCATCTTCAAAATACCCCTTTAAATATAGGATCCAAAAAGAATCTCACCAAAATTCCTAAGGTCAGAAAGACATTCATTTCCAAGGTTCTCTTCATTGAGAAAAGATGTTATTTCAGATTCCATTTTACGCCTGAAATAGACATTAACTCAATTTTTTATACCCATATATATAGGTTTAAAAAATAACCAGTAGTAGACACTTAATCTAATGTGGTTTTATTCACCAGTTTATTTATTCAGACCATACACTAAATTCCTAACATAGATTATGTACTTGCCAGACATGACCAGTGGACATTTGGCCCATACCAATGATATTTGTCCAAAACATCCATGAGCATACTTGGACCATGCCAAATGGTCCTTGCTTCTGTCAAAAATGTCTATGCTTGCCCTGGCTGGTGGCTCAGTTGGTTGGAATGTTGTTCTGTACACCAAAAGGTTGTGGGTTTGATCCCCAGTCAGGGTGTACGTGGGAGGCAACCGATCAATGTTTCTCTCTCACATTGCATTTCAACGCTTCTCCCTCCCTCCCCCCAACTTCTTTTCTCTGTCTCTAAAATCAATAAACATATCCTTAGGTAAGCATTTTAAAAAATGTTCATTCTTAGGAAATGTTCCTGGGTTCAGATAACCCATAATGTTTACTTCTACTTTCGGCTTATAGGCTTAATGCATAAAAAAGTACTATTATGTTTTATTGGTCCAATAATTGTGTTGTGGCTATATTGCCAGTAATGATCCTTCTTGCCTCGATAGACTACCTGGTAATGGCAAATTGGATTAGGTAGATGTTTCCAGGTTGGAATCTTGCAAAAGAGTAGAATTTATATTAACTATGTATGTTTTGCACAGGAGCAAACATTAAGGCATGGACCAAACATCTCTGTGGGTGTTTCAGACGAGACCAAGTATTCTGCAAGGGAAAGAAGCATATACAAACGCTCTGGGCAGAAGTACCAGTGAGGCAAAGGCAACCCCATGACACGTCCTAGCACTACTTCTGCAGAGAGAGCTCAGGGCATTGGAAAGCCACTGAGGGATACTAAACTGACCTCACCTGCTCAGCAGATCTGTGTTTGAGGAAGATTTCCAAGGCAGCAAGACGAAGGACAGGCTAGAAAGAAGGGTGATAAATAGAAATGGAAAACGAACAGGAGGGGATCAGGCAAATCTAAAACCAAAAAGGAGGTTGTTTTAAAAATTAAGGGAAGAAGATGAGCTCTTGAACTGCTGAAATAAGGGTATAAGTATATTTTATTTTTATACACTAATCAAAGTAATGAGTATTAATGATCTTTCACTATAATATAATAGTCATTAAATATAGTCATTTTTAAAGTAAAAATATAACCAGCTTTAAATGGATATTCAGAAATATTGTAGTCGCCCTGACTGGTGTGGCCCAGTGGGTTTGGCGTCATCCCACAAACCAAAAGGTCACCGGTTGGATTTCAGGTCAGGGCACATGCCTGGGTTGTGGGCCAGGTCCCTGGCTGCGGGCACGTGAAAGGCAATTGATAATATGTTCACATCACACATTGATGTTCTCTCCCTCTCTTTCTCCTTCCCTTCTTTTCTCTCTAAAAATAAATTAATTAAATATTTAAAAAATTTGGTAGTCTCTCCTTTGTTTATGGCAGAGATTTAATGAAATCATAGAAAAGAGTTCTGATTTACTATGATTATAAAAATACAATATTAAAAGTGGCATAAAATTTAAAATAGGAACAATTATAACACTTTAACACAATGATTATTTCTGCATATAAGTTTCTAGCTGTTGTCTACATGTATATATATTTTAAATAGTTGTAATTATGGCACATTTACCATTTTATATTGAGGCTTTTTGAATATTTTTAAATAATTTTCTTTTTATAATTTTACTTTAAAATCATGTTTATTCTATTACAGTTGTCTCAATTTTTCCCCCTTTGCCCTTCTCCACCCACTTCAACCGGCCCACCTCTCCCACAGTCAATTCCCACTCTGCTGTCCATGTCCATGGGTCATTCATACATGTTTTTTGTTTAGTTCCTTCTCCTTCTTTCCACCATTGTCCTCCTTCCCCATCCTCTCTGATCACTGTCAGTCTGCTCCATGGTTCCATGCCTGTGGTTTATTTCATTCGTTAATTTATTTTGTTGAATAGATTCCACTTATAGGTGAAATTATATTGTATTTGTCTTTCACTGACTGGGGCTTATTTCACTTAGCATAATATTCTCCAGTTCCATCCATGATATCACAAAAGGTAGTAGTTCTTTCCTTTTTTCTTTTTCTTTTTTAAAAAGAATGCAGATTGATTTTATTTATTTTTTTAAATGTCAAGATCCATTATAAAATATTAAAAAATTTAAATCCATTATAAAGTCTCAGCAATTAAAACATGACACCAGCACAGAAATAATCAAGTAAATCAATGAAATAAAATAAGCATTCTAGAAACAAATGTATATATCTGTCTAACAATGTACTATATAATTAAATTGATATTTCAAATCAATGGGGAAAATAAGGCTTATTCAACAAATAAGGTGCATGGATCACTATTACTTGAAATAAAACAAATATAGATCCCTATTTCACACATTATACAAAAAATATTCAGGTGATTTAAAAATCAATATGTAAAATCTAAGGAGTTTTCAGAGAAAATACAAATTAATATTTTTCTTACCCTGAAGTAAAATATTCAAACCCAGAAGCTTGAAAGTAAAATATTGACAATATGACTATATTATACATTTAAGACTATATAGTAATATACCTATAAAAAAGTTTAAGGGCAGGAAAGTATTTGCAACACAACTAAAAATGGGTTAATAGCTCTTGGGTTTTTTTAGGGCAAAAATTCTACAAACATTTAATCAAAAATCGATAAAGAATACCAAATATTCATTTAAAGCTTTTTAAAAATAATAGAAATAGGCAAGAAATACACAAAAACAGGTTTAGTTTCAACAAATAATAAAGGAACAATTAAAATAACACATCACTGTCACAATCAGATGAATAAGTATTAAAAATATTGGTAATATCAAGTATTGGTGACCATGAAAGGAACTGGGTATTCACCAACTCTTTTTCTTCATCTTCTTAAAGCAGTCCCTTGGGCATATTTTGCAATGCTGGTTTTGTGGAGGTGTATTCTTTTAGCCTTCTTTTGTCAGGGAAATCCTTTATTTCACCTTCCATTTTAACTGAGAGCCTTGCTGGGTAGAGCAATCTTGCTTGCAGGCCTTTGCTTTTTATTCCTTGGAATATTTCTTGCCATTGTCTTCTGGCTTGTACTGTTTCTGTTGTGAAGTCAGCTGCTAGCCATATCGAGGCTCCCTTATATGTTACTACCTCCTTGTCCCTTGCTTCCTTTAGGATTCTCTGTTTGTCTTTGATATTTGCCATTTTAATTATGATGTGTCTTAGAATGGGCCTTCCTGGGTTCCTCTTAATGGGACCCTCTGTGCTTCCTGGATTTGTGTGACTTTTTCTCTCCTCCAATTAGGGAAGTTTTCCATCATTACTTTTTCAAGCAGGTTCTCTATCCCTTGCTCCTGTTCTTCTCCTCCTGGTATCCCTATTATATGGATATTATTACGTTTCAGGTTGACCTATATTTCCCTCAGTGCCTCTTCATTCTCCTTGAGTCTTTTTTCATTTTCTTGCTCCTTCTGGGAGCTTTCACAGAAGTCAAAATGGCAGCAGGGAGAGGTGCTGGACCAAAGAGTCCTGTCAGTCTAACCTGGGGAAAGAAGGCGTTGGTTGGGAGGTGGACCCTCCTGAAGCTCATGAAAGTTTGGGAAGGTGATTGGTCATTTTTGAGAATGCACCTCATCTACCCCACACCTAAGCTAATATGAACTCAGAGGAACAAAGAAGACTCTCTCTCATGCTCAAGGCTCACTCTCTCTCTTGTCCTCCAGCTCGCTTATTTGTTCCTCAGCTTCATGTAGCCTGCTTTTGATTCCATCTACTGTGTTCTTCAATTCAAAATTGTATTCTTCATTGCCTCTTGTCTCTTATTGATAGTTTCTATGTCCTTTTTCAGGCTGATATAGTTTGCACTAAGTTCCTCATAGTTTCCCTCTAGTTTTTTTTTATTCTCTCTGAGCTCACTGAGATCATTGAGCCTTCTTAGAACCATTGTTTTGGACTCAGTATCTGATAGTTTACTCATCTCTATTTCATATAGTTCTCTTTCTGGGGAGTCCTCCTTTCCATTCGAGTGGGGGGTGTTTCTTTGTCTTCCCATTATTTGTGAGACTTTTCTCTTTTACTTCTGCTTCTTAAGTTGATCTGTCTTGATCTCCTGACTTTTTGGTGTGAACTTCTATGGTAGGAGATCACTGTTTTTTCTTTCTGGATCTGCCTCTGATGATGTCAGATATTGACCCCGTCTGACCTTAGGCAGTCTGTCTCCTTCAGCTGTTAATCTAGTCATTCTGCATTCAGCACACCAGCTTAGGAACACCACAAGGTGGGGCAGAGTCCCTCCTGGGAGCAGGACTATCATGTCCTCTCATGCTGTTGCCGCTCAGGGGAGTGGTCTGCCTGAGCCAGATGGCTGCTGCTGTATGGGGGAGGAGTCAGCACTGAAATCCTGTCAGCCACTCTCTCAGTTCTCTACCAAAACCTCCTTCCTTAGTCTCTTGTCAGATGTCTCTAGCCCACTCTGCCCCTGTCTTTGCCAAAGCCCAGGGTAAGTGGCTACAAATAAAAATGTATGTGTTAGCCCTTTAAACGGCTCTTTGTGTCTTCAGCCACCTGTTTCTGGCAGAGAGCAACCCTGCTGCTTTTCACAGCTGGCTATTTTCTGTGTACTTTTTGGGCTTTGGTGCTGTAGGCTGGAGATCCCCACTATGGTTTAGACTCTGCTCCATGGGCGCCCCGCCCACCTTCTTGAGTCTCTACCACACTTCTTACCAGTTAGATTGTGCTGAAGCTGATTCTTCTGTCTGTCGGAGTTTATAAGGCTCCTCTCTTGCTATTGTTCAGTTGTTTGTTCCAGGTGATTTCTCCACAATTTATTTGCAATTCCAGGTTGGTCCTGGGAGAAAGTCAGTGTGACTTCCACTCACTCCTCTGTCATCTT